CCGGCTGCAGACCATCCGTATCCATCCTTCCCTTCGGAATGAGGTCCGGCGAGTGTGATGTGGCCACCTTCGATGGAAAACTGAATCAATACGGCGAAGGTGTCGGGATCCCCGGCTTCGCGGAAGACGAACGCGACGCGGCGGCTGACGCCATTACGCCTCTCGCAACTCTGAATCCGATGCACGGCTTCGAAAAGCAGCCTGGTGGACTGGTGCCATTCAAATCCATTCAAGCGTTTGATCCACTCATAAAGCATGTTTGATTCATGTTGTATGGCCTGCAATCTGGCAAATTCAGGCCGCTGAAGGGGATTGCCATGAGCAAGCAGGTTTTGTTCGGCTCACTGATTGGATTGGGCAGATAGGGTATACTTTCTTCTTTGAGATCTTCGGGCATTTTCACCAGAAATGAAAAAAAACACGTCCCAAACAACTGATTTCTGAGGGCCGGCCGCCGACCCGGAACAGAGAATGTACCCTGATCTCGTGGGGGTTGGCGAGGTGCGATACTCCAAAGACAGAGACGTCGCCTACAGGAGCAGGGGAGGATGTGGGCCATGGCATGGCCATGGCATGATCATGGCATGATCATGCCGTTTTTTTGTTTTGTTTTTGTTTTTACTGCGCAGAAGCAATGCATGGACGTTCCGAAGTTCCAAAACTTAGAACTCCACAGAGTAGATAAACTGCTGTAACATGATCTAACATGACATGTGTTGTCTTGCAACTCAAGGCCTTGATAGAGAGAGAGAGAGTTTTGCCAGATCACCAGTACTGGTAGCAGGTGAACTGGCCGCTGCAGGTGTTGCGTGGATCAGAGTTCAAGATTGTTCTAAGGGATCACCGCGGCTGAAAGACATGCAGTCAGATCACAGAGACAGACATCGCGGCGGAGTCGGGCTGAGCGGGCACATGTCTGCAATCCGCGACGGTTATATACTTTGGAACATCAAGCCAGACATTTTTGACTACATATATTGATTGTCATGTAGCTCCTCCTGATATATCATGATATATATATATATAATTATTTATCCATCATCTATGGAATCTTCCAAGCAAGATGGGGAACATGTCACAAACACCGCGCTTCTCTGGAGGAATGCAAAAGACTTCGTGGTACCTCCTCTAAGACTCAGTAAGACTCTAGGTCCTTGGTCAATCAGACCTCCTTGCAATAGTCCACTCCGGTTGGCATCTCTTTAAAACATCTATGCCATCTTTTCTTCACGTAACCTTTTTATATGTGTATTTTCATTTTAGAAATGCTGCTCATCCACGTGAAACTGAACTCCTTTCTGCCCCGTGCAGAAACCTCGGTCGCTGTAGATCCAACCGCCCTTCGCCGAAACCCGGGGGCGCGGTTGGTCTACGGTGGATCGCGGTCAGGATCTTCAACGGTGAAGCGGAGGGCGGCTCCGTGGATTTGGACGAAGCCCTGGAGATCACCGGCCTGGCGGAGCGATTCAGACGTGTTTCCTTCGGGGGATCCGACGACGCCAAGGGGTGGGGAGGCTGAGTTTAACTGGAATGAGCAGACGAAAAGTCATCACACGTGTGACGAAAACGTGAGTGGGAACCTATAATTAAGGACCTCAGGGCCTGAGGGTTTTGGAGGATGAGGGGTTTGGTGAGCTCAGATAAGCGATCTTTTTGTCGGCTCCTCCGTTTTGGGAGGGCCGGTTCTGTTTGCATGGCGCATAGCAAGTGCTTGTTCGGAGGATATTAAGATAAAGATTAACTATTTATATATTAGTATTAACTCAAACTACATTAAACTATATACATAGTGTTTCTTCCACATATAGTCACATAGCCATATGGCCCATCGGCGATTTCGCCCCATCCCCATCTTCCTCGCCAAACGACACACCTGGAAGCCTTGCAGCGAAAAAAGGAACGACTGGAGCCAGGACCAGAAATTGCAACTGATTCCTTCGAAAGTGATTCATGCAAAAGGCCCTTTTCCATCCATTTCGCTGTATGTGGAGGTTGCTCTAAGGGCTGGGAGGATTGGCAAAAGGCAGTTGGTTTCGTGCCCATTCCATATATGAAGAAGAAATCCCGCATTGCCGGTCTAGCCGCGATGTTGCCCTTTTTCCTTCCGTTGCATTCCCGATGCGATTCGCGGGTGCACAAGAACGAGCCACGGACGTGAGTTTTCGAGCGCCCCGAATGGAGCGCAGGGGCGGTGTATTCTTTTACGGAGAGTTGAGATGGTTGAACTGGTTGAACGTGCCATAGAATACAACAGGCAACCAACATAGTTTTTGATCACTTGCAGAATCAACATCGGCGGTTTTGTCCACACACACACATGTTGAAAGAAGCTTCAATGTCCGAGTGCACATTTCATCCTATCACAATCTCTTCACCCTTCCTGCTTGCGCTGCTCTTCTTCTGCAGGAGACTCCAGCAGTTCATTCCTATGACTCCATTACACCCTGCACAGGGCCTGGGTGTCCCAAAGCACACGCGCGGCAACGCCGATTTCGCGCGGGTTTCGGGGGATGGACTTGGGATTGTCTGGGTATCGCTTCATCACTCGGAACAGGCCCAGAATCACAAGTCTGAAGGGTTTCTGTTCCTCCCATTTGATCCCATTTGACTTAGAAACATCTGAAGAAAGTGGCTGGGGAAGCACTGCATGTGATTGAGTCTTCCCATGTTGAGACCGAACCCATTTCTGGCAACTGGCATGGACATGTATGGACTGTTTTGATAGGACTGGCTGGAGAAAGATGTTTCAAGGATGTTTGTGGGATCATCATCTTTGGGTATTAGTAGGTCACCTGCTTCTTTCTTTCTTTCTTTCTTTCTCTCTAAAATATGGGGTTTAACACCCATGTTGTTGTTTGCTGAACTCGGTGGTGAACTCGCAGCATAGCAAACAGGCCCAGCTGGGGATGGGGGGGCTGAAATCAAGTGATTTCTCCAGATGGCCGTGGTGGGCACACGGTGAATCACTAGGTGCTAGTGGGGTGACTTGGGAGAAGAGAGCATGACGCAACAAAAACATTGAGGTGGCCCAGCGAATGAGATCCCTTGCCATCCCTTGCCCATCTTCAATGGGGCACTGAAAAGCCCGTTGCTCCGTCCGACTGCAGGTTTGACCCTGCTCGTTACAAGCAGACAAAGGCCCCGGCATTTGTCTCGCCCGAGACGATCGGTCTTGATGGACTTGGTGGACTTGATGAAGTGTCTGATGAATGGATGACTTGGTCACGAGATGGATCTTCGGTGATTTTTAGCATGGGAAATGGGTGGCGTGATTCGACAAATTTGTGCAATGTTCCTTTCAAAAGACACTCCGGTGTGGCCGTCTTCCTGGGGGTCGCCCTTCCGGAATTCTTTGTAATTGATATATAAAATATATAACAAATAAATATATATATATTGTACATGTTAGATGTTCCCTTCCGGGTGTTTACAATGGCTGGTTTGGGTCAATTGTTTTAGCACAAATTGCTGGTTTTGGTCGATGGTTTCCACGAGCCATCGCGGATGCGAAATTCGGAAGTCCGGCGCCGTGTGAAGCTCCGGCTCTTTCGAGGTTGGCTCGTTTGAGCCAGCCCTTCTCTATCCCAAGGCAACGTGTTTTTTAAAGCTTTAAAGCACCCACCTTGCTTGGACCAAACAAGGCAAGATGCACAGTCAGTGGTGCAACATTGATTATATATAAGTACCACACGGCTTCTTTCTGTTCGACCTCCCCTACCTTGTGTTTTCCTCCCGGCCACACGTTCGGTCCGGTTCTCTGGCATCATCACCGATCGGCCGATCGTAGCTTCTTGTTACGTTCGTAGCGATGGCCTCCCAGCTACTTGCGATGGCCCGCAGAAAAAAAAACCGTCCTGGCTATATAGTAGTAATGGCCTCCACCAGGCCTGGTAGCTTCATGTAGAACTCGTCCGATCGATCGATCTTTCTCAAGGCCTGGTTTGCTTACCGCAAGCTGGCGGGCTTACCCGTGGACGAGCAGCCCAACGGTCCGAGTCCGTGCGACCGGGTCCTGGACGTTTCGGGAAGCTCACCATCTGAGAGGAATCCAACATGATAGGAGTCCATCTGGCCCAAACCAGTCAAGAAGGAATCCAGTTCAAATGATTCTGATACAGGCCAACATGTGAAGATGCGATGACAGATATCAGGGGCGCTAAGGACCTGAGAATTTTTTGAAGAGCGATGACCATTTCCACTGCATCATACTTGGTGTTAAAAAGGACTGAATGGGTCCACTCCAAATGCCCCCTGCACCCTATCAATGCTTTTTTGCTCCAGCTACAGGGTTACCCCTGGCGCTTCTTCCCGTCCGGTCCACGACAGGTATCAACCTGTGTGGCGCTGACAGCGCGCTGAATTCCCTCCCTCTTCCCGCGACGCAAAGCAGCCGGCGCGAGTGGTGAGAAATCAGCAGCGTGAGCGGTGAGAAGCTGCCTTGAGTGGGAAGACCGTGATTGTTGGGCTTGCAGGTTGATCGAAGGGACTTGAAGGCATGGTTTATGAACGCCACTTATCAACATGCCGTTGAGTTTCAGACATGACCCTGGAATTGTGTAGCATAATATACGTATGCAATGCCTGGAACGCGCGGAAGACAGTGGTTCGGCATGGTGTTTCGCATGCATCGAACCTTGGCTCACAGCAAATGAACCTTTGAACTGCGGTTTGGAGGGCCTGGATGGTCTCCTGAACCCAGCACCTGGCTGTCATAAGCATAGCATGCAGACTCGTTCAAGGGATCCATGGCAATCACTTAAGCAGATTTGGAATGAGGAGTCCTTCCACAGTCGAACCCCCAAAAAACGGAGGTGTGCTCTGGAAAAACATCTCTGAGTCCTTGCCAGCTAGAGGAAATGGCAGCTCGCGCTGCACTTGGAGGATTTCTCACTTAAGTGGACAAACGCAGACTCTAGCTCGAGGACCTGGACGTCTTTCTGGGAGGGTTTCTTTTAGGCCAGGAAGTCCGCCCAGACACACAACTGCTGGAAGCTCCGGACAACCCATCCGACCCGCGTCGTACAACCCATCCGACTCCGAAGCATGGCGTTGCTGCAACCTGATGCGGGAGTGCTAGACCTGTTTCGTGCACTGGACGGATTTCACAAGGCTTATTGGAGGAGCAGCCATGCCACTTGGCCAGATCTAGATCCACAGCTTTGGCGGCCTGTATGTTGGAATATGTTTGACGATGCTTGATGTTGCTTTTTACTTTGTGCCGTTGGCGATTGTGTTGTTTTCGCCAACACGGTTTGATGAGAACCTAATGCTGTTTGCTGTTTGATAGGGGGGAGGTCTACTGGTGGAAGAGAACTTACTGCAATGGCATTGCAGTTTGCGACCGTTTCTCCTCCAAACACCCCTGGAAAAAGAGGGACAGACTCGAGACGGACTCCTTTGCCCGATGTTCGCACGGATGCTGCAGCTTCACGGCTCCCGGTCTGGACCGATGTAGCAGTGCTGTTCTTCTTCCCGGACCGGACCGGTTGAGGCTTTCAATTCTTGGGTATTCTTTTTAAACTGAACATTCCTCATTGGAGGAATGGTCATTCAGATAGTCACAGTGATTCAACGCGGAACTGGAGAAAAGCTACCGAGCTACCAAGACCTCAAAGCAAGACCTTGTTTCCAAGACCTCCGGGTGCAACTCGACCGTTCATTCATCAAACCTCCCCGAAACCCTCCAGGTCGGTCCGGGGTGAAGGTTGAACTGCCCATGCACTCAGCGGGCATGGCGTTTCCGCATCCAGACGACCAACGATGACCAACGACACATGCGAACGCCCAGTGCGCAAGTCATCAATATGTCTTGGGTCTGTCCCATTGCCTGTAACAGTCGGTAAACACATATCGCCACTATTTTTATGTGTTTGATTGTGTTTGTATAATCACGTAAAAGGCCTTTACTAAGCATCATCATCCACTTGATACTGATAGTAGGATAGACCCCAACATATCTCCTTTGTGGAACCTGGTTTCCCGGACCTCCACCCCGACGAACCACCGGACCGTGCTGCGCACGCTGCGCACCGGACCGGACTAGGAACCCGTGGCCAGCCGTGCGGTGACGAAGCTCCGACAACCTTTGGTGGAACTCGTGGGCCTGGCGGCCACGTGGCGATGGGAGGGCGGAGACGGGAGGTTCCAAAGCACCGAAGCGAAGGGAAGGTGGGACTGGGGGTGGGAGGGTCCAAAGACCTGAGGAGGTACGACTGGAGCCCCCAAAAAGGGAGAATGACCATTCGGTGTATGGAGTAGTTGGTTGGAGTTTGTTTAGAGAAAACCAAGATAGACACTGCATGTTTTGAATTGAGGGAAAGTACATGAAAGTAACATACATACATCATTAAAACAAAAAACAAAATCTTGCATTGTTTTTCAATTATATAAACGATATTACTATATTAATGTTATATTGTATTGTTTGTATTGTAGTTAGTTATATTATGATACATGACATCATATTGTATTATGTCATACATTATATATACACAAACCGGATGTTCGGGCTCCTTATCGTGTTGAAATTCACCGGCCCCACTTGGACAGCATCCCTTGGACAAGTTGAATGAATGACTTGAACAGGAACCCTTTTTAGAAGTGAGAAGGGGCCAACTTTGAAAAAAACAGCGAAGCAGCAGCTCTCCGACAGCATCACTCAGGTGGTGAATGTACTCGAGGAGATGCGATCAGGAGCGGTGGAACGAGGGGGTGGAACGAGGCATGGAACGAGGCCCTTGAGACAAACGAGGCCCTCAACGGAACGCGGATGGTGACACCAGTGGAATTGGGCCAAGATGGAGGTTTTTGCACAAGAACTGGTGAAGGACTCTAAGATGGAGGTGTCTCGATGTTGGGGGCCGGGGAGTGACAGCTTGTTCTTAAAGAAGACCAAGTGGGAGAGTTTTGTTTTGTTGATGGTTTCTCATGACGACTTCCTGAAACGTACTGCGCAGCAAGCGACCGATGTCCGTATATGACCTGGTTGGGCAGAGGGCTTTTCTTGGGGATCACTGTTCTCCACAAAGCCCTCCACAGAACACAGAACGAGTGATTTGCCACAGCAACATATGCGGCTGGGAAGGTGGAAGGACTATTAAGGCCCAAAGACACTTGGGCAACTTAGGTTCCATGTCAATTTCTTTAAAGTTGCAACCTTCAACCTATGGCCAAATTAAGATAAATTAAGTATAGTTTTGCGTCCTTCACAGTGATGGTTTTCCATACAAGATTCCTACAACCTCTAAGAACAAATCAGCTCAGGTCCTACCTATGTCATCTGTAAAGCCAGGAGTTCTTTCTTTCCCCTTCCATCCGCGAGGACTGTCGGATCCACGAGTGCAATGGGTCGGCGTCAGCTTTTTGAGAGCTGCCCTACACGACTCCAATGGCACCACCAAAGATATCATTCAGAGAGCCGGCGCCCGGGCGAAAGACGTAGAACGAACTCGAGCTCGTCGGCGAAGGCGTCGCCGTGGTGGTTCAGGTGGTGTTCGGCGCCCGGCGAAGACCTCTTTTCCGATGTTTTTGCGTCGAAGAAAGACTGATGTGTCAGTCCGAACGTTTGGACAAAGATCTGATGTGCCACAGATGAGGCCTCCAAACGCCTCAAGGTTTCAGCCGGTTCAGCGGTTGTCCAAGAAACGTGGCGTGTTTGGGCCATGACCTCGGACTTGTGAGAAGAAACCTCGGACTTGTCAAAGAGCTTGGACTCTGAGAGTCTGAGAGTGACGAGTCTTAGTATTAGCACCACCAAAAAACCCGACCACCACCGGCCACCACCTGACTCAAATAGCCCAGACTGAGCCTGTCAGTGTTTGTTCATGTGCTATTCGAGTTGTTCCCCAAAGCAGTCTGGGGATTTGAGATGATTGATTTGAGGAAATTGTTCCTGATGTTTGTTGCCTGTTGTGAGTTCACTTGTTGAGTCCGTCCTGTTTGGGTGATTGATTTAGCAGCTTGCAACTCAGCCGAGCTTATACCCGTCCCCTCAATGTTCAGATGAGAAAGGAGGGTTACACTCTTTATGTCAATCATGGTCAATTGTCAATCTATCTCATGCAATCGCTTGTCTAATCCGCAGAACAACAATAAGCCGAAGAGAATTGACCAGAGCTTCCCTTTCCACTTATTGTTTGTTTGTGATAGGAGCCAACTGACACTCAGTGCATGCATGTTTCGATTCAGCGAACTGGTCCTTGACCGCTCAGGTGTCCTTGACGTGCTGGTCCGAGTCATGCTTCTCAGCTTATTGAGGGGAGGGAAAAGCAGCTACCAAGAAAGGGATGAAACAAACGATCCGCACAAAGCATTCAGCACGTCCGCTTAGCCGGCCACCCACCGACCCAAATTTGATGGTAAACGAAAAGGCCAGGAAGTCTGAAGTCGTTGGCAAGGGAACGCACGTGCACAAAAAGAAGCATCCACTTGTCCATCCTGGATCATCCTCGATCCTGATCAGATCCAGCATGATCCAGCGGATGATCCAGTGGATGCGTGACACCAACGGAGCTGAGGACGAGCCATGCCAGCACGGAGCACTTGCTGGCGGAAGCTTTGGCGGTCCTCGACGACGCTCGGGATGCGCGTTTAAACCAAACCGCCGGGCCCAACGCGACTGCGAGGGAAGCGAGGGGAGGAGGCGTTGGACGTTTTTTCTTGTTTTCCGATAATTTCTTGTGTATTTTGTTGGTGGTCCCGTGTTGGAGTGATGACATAAACCTACTTCTCCACTTAGTGTTTGTTCATGGGCCGAGCTACTAAGTTACTAGGTTCCCGCTTATGTGTTGTGATCCTTGCACAGCCCAGTGCCACAAGAACCCAAGTGCATAAATCAAGTGCTGTGCCATTCCTGTGCAGAAAGCACTGTAAGCCTCTAATCTGAGGTTGTGAGTTATATTTTGTGTTTTAGTCTATATGTGCCGGTGTGCTATGCCAACTACGGTTTGGGGAAACATTGGAGAACGATATGGACCCCACCAAAAGAGCGATAATCATGTCACATGGTATTTGGCTACACGAGTAATTTTGTCCGCTGCTCATGTAAAGACTATATGATGCTCCATGTGAAAGAACATGTCAAATGTACCCGATGCTGTGATGTTTGTTCGAGTTTGTTTGCTTTAAAGTAGTAGGCTTCAGCCTGCTCAACCATGTGCAGATTTCCTGTTACGTGTGGACATCTGCGGGCCTATATTAATGGTCAGAGATTCACGAAAGTCTTTCTTTATCTTTGGATATCTTTGGAATGTCTTTCCCAACGTGTGCACAGATTGAGTAGTTATTTTGCAAAGAGAGAAAGAGAGGAATGCCTAACCTGACAACTGACTTTGACTGGGACATTTGGTGCCTCGTTTCGCTCCCCCGTTCTCCGACTACACTCCTCGCTTTCCAGTAGTCTATATAACTATAACATACTGCTAAATGCAGGGAACTAGCGTATCATATATACATCTCACACTAACTACTAGTAGTAGCAATAAGAAGCTACTAGGTTGGAGGCCATCGCCTTTAGATCCTTTAGGTTGGAGGCCATCGCTTTCGCTTTTCATCCGACTGCTTCACACGGAAAGGCACCCATGACCCGCATCGAACTCCATCCCCTCGCCGCTCAGGAGCTCCACGGGCTGCCGGCTCTGCTGCAAGCGTTGGACCACCTGCGCAGTAGCCCAGCTGCCTCCAAGGCAGCGCTGGTGCAGATCCGGAATTCCGCGCCTTGGCCAGTCGGTGGAGTCGGTTGGGGGAGATGGGTATTGAAACGGTGGTGGTTTTCACAGGAGGAATGGACCTGATCTCATGAGATGTCTTTGAAAGAGTGGAGTTGAAGTGGTTCAGGATTTGGTGTATTAATATGGAGATGCTTTGAACTTTTTGAACCAATTGGCGGTGTGCGAACAAGTCTTGGAGATGTTCACGGTGGATGAAACAGCCCATGTTTCAGCTGTTTCAGAATCTGAACTGGGTGTTCATGCCTGATCCGCTTTGATCCGTCTGATTGCTTGGATATCTACGAGTCCTATCTGCTTCGTCCTAAAACCGGTCGAACTCCGGTCCTCTGAGTTGAGAGCCGAGCTTCGCAAAGCAAATCCCCCAAAATCTTACTGGAGTTTTCTTGATATTGATTCATTAGTTCATATTTTTCATATTTTTGATCCCCATTTTTTTTGTATTTGTCATATTTTTGATCCCCAAATTGTTCATATATGTTCATATTCTTGATCCCCAAATTGTCCTATTTTCATATTTTTGATCCTCAATTTGTTCATTTTTTCATATTTTTGATCCCCAAATTGTTCTTTTTTTTCTTATTGTTTTATCTCCAAATTGTTCGTATTTTTCATATTATGTTTGATCCCCAAATTGTTCATTTTTTAAAACATATTGTTGATCCCCAAATTGTTCGTATGTTTCATATTTTTGATCCCCAAATTGTTCGTATTTTTCATATGTTTGATCCCCAAATTGTTTATATGTTTCATTATTTTTCATATTTTTTATCCCCACATTGTTTGTATTTTTCATATGTTTGATCCCCAAATTGTCGTATTTTTCATATTTTTGATCGCCAAATTGTTCGTATTTGTCATATTTGTGATCTCCAATTTGTTCGTATTTTTCATATTGTTGATCCCCAAATTGTTCGTATTTTGAGAAACGCTTATGGCCACTTATGGCCAGTTGTGGTACCCACTCCTGAAATCAGACCTCACAAGTCTGCATGCGCTTGTGGTGCATTTTTCAGACACACGGCCCAGAAGCAGGAAGTCTTTCCAATACGTGTCGTCATGGGCAACGAGTTGTCTTCGCTTGCTCAGGCTCGTGCGAGATGGCATGAGGTGGAACAGGCGGACAACTTTCAGATGATGCGGGCGACTCGCAACGAAGTCTCTTTTGGAGACGAAAACACACGCCGTGGATTTCGGTCTCGACCTGCAAGGAGGACATGGGGGGGCAGCCAGGCTAAGACATGTCGAAACAATGCAGAGACAATGGATGGGTATCATTTGACCGTAGACTTTCAGTGACCCGGTGAAAAAGATCTATATAGAAGTGAATCACTTAAGCGTCTTGAACACCATGTTCATTCATTGGGGACTCGGCAATGGACTAATTGAACTCCGGTGAAGCAATCTCCAATACTGGCAGTCTTTGGATGTTCCGCATCGATGCCGTGCTTCGTCTTGGAGCAACCCAGAGCCAGTGCTCGTCTTGGGTGTCCCAAGACTCTTCATGCGAACCACCTTATTATAGACACTTCGCGGAGTTCTGTTTCAATCAGTCTCGGAGGTTTAACATGTGCGGAGTCCCTGACGCAAAAGAACCATAAAGAACCCGTCATAGATGACCGTGAGGCGCTCCGGCAAACGAAATTCATGCAATTGAAATGTTTTTACTCTCTTCAATCCGCAGCGGTCAGTCTAAGATGCCTCTTCCTGTTGTCAAAGCCAAGCCTGATAATCTACGAGGCAACATTCCTCTGTGAACAGGCACTCCTCAGTTCGGTTGGACACGTTTTCAAGCACATGCATTTGCACCCCAAGAATCACCTAAACACCACCGGTTGGGGCCCGGTTGGGGTGTTTCCTCCAAAGCCTTTTGACCTGAACATGGGCCTTTCCAGCGCCAAGTCGGAGAGTCGGAGAGACCACAGAGTCGGAGTCGTTTAACCACGTTTCCTCCCGGCCAAAACGCTGAGGTGATCCTCATGTCGCTTCAAGCGCATCAAGATCCTCAAGTGATCCTCCTCGGCCTCCAGGTGCCCAGAACGGACCGTCCAGCGCGGTGCGTGCGGATCGGTGGGAGGCGAAGCCGCACGGCTCCGTGGGACCCGGGAATGGTGAGGACAGTCCAGTTGGATCGAGTTGGGTCCATGGGTTGGAAACATGGAAACATGTCAGAAACACCAACGGCCACGGCTGATCCAGCGTGTTCTGCAGCGTGGACTGCAGCGTGGCAGCGGCAAGAGTCGAAGAGCAGGCTGAGCAGCCCAATGAGATGATTCTCCTTTGAAAGGGACCCATTGAGCCATCAGCATGCATCAGCTCATGTGGTCGAGTCTAGTCGGTCTTCAAGTTAGTGACAGACTTGTTCCGTTCAATATGATGAAAAACATGGTGTCCAAATGGATAGTGGCACAGTGTCCAAAACATTCTTACTGGAGATCTACTTTCTATCTTTTTTGGTGTTTAAAATCTATAATAAGTCTAATTATATGGTCCTTGGCTCCGGATCTACATGACCAAGCAAGTACATCCAAGCTGTGGAACGTTGTTTGGCCAAGGAGCCCGCCCGAGAAGGAACATGCGCTTGTGACGAAATCCGCACCTTTGAAGACAACAAAACATTCCTTGTCGCCCAAAGATACCACGCAGTGCATGAGAAAATATCAACTCTTGATGGACCAGCTGCGACACCTCACCACTATGCCCTGCCTTAAAGCCTGGTGTTGACGAGGTCCAAGAAGACGAGAAACAACGCGCACCGGACGCAAGAAAGTGCTGGTTCGGACATGTGACACGCGAGCTGCGCCAGTTGTTGGGGGACCTGGCGGGTGATCTTCCAGAGACACGCAGTGCCTTCTTTAACCTCGGCTACTTGGGTGTCTTCGGAGTTTGGGCGGGCGCTGGGATCCCCTCGGATGGAGCAGACCGCTATAGCTTGACGAAGCGTCGTTTTGGTGTCTGACATCACCGGGGACCGGCGGTGGTCATCTAGTTATGGACATACTTTGTTTTGACATGGCTTCATTTTAGGTTGACTCTCATACCCCCCCGTTTTTTTAATTTAAAAGATCTCAGGCATCTTCGAGTGCACATGGGGGTGTTTGAGCAATCAACAGTCAACACTACTTGAGGGGTGTCCCAAGCCCTGGGAGTGGAGTCGTGCTGCTGTGGGCTTGTTTTGCCTCGACACGAGAAGTTGCTGTGACATCTGTGTCGCCACAGCCCACGCGAGAATGCGGATGATTGATCTACTCCCTCCTCAGACTTGAGAAAGTGGCTGAGCTGGGTTTGATGATAGCCATCCACAGTTGTGGAAAGAGTTTTTTTCTTGAAAGTAATGAGTCGTCTATACTCCGACTACACCAGCTTTTTTCAAAGTGACCTCAAACCAGCGGATCCAAAGGTCACTTTGAAGAACCAGGTAACCTACTCTTTCAGAGGAACATGTTTTTGGGACATAGGCTAAATCGGTAAAGGCTCCAAACGAACGCCTTTTGATGGATTTTTTGGATACATCCTTTGTGAATCTGTAAAGCTCAGACTGGATCACGTTGTTTTCCAAACTGCCGCCCAAATAGTGCCATTCGATGACTCTCACTGTACTCCCAGAAACAGTCAGGCAAAACTCAGCGGATGAACCATTGCCTAGTGATCCCTTTATCCTGTTCAAGGTTGGCGCCAGGCTGTTTTGCACTGGAAAACATGGATAGAACATGATAGAACCGCTTGTTTTGCTTCGCACCAAGGTTTCCAGCACCGACCTTCTCCCGTGTTTCAACCAGGGTCATGAGACCTTAAAGCCCTTCTTCGGAACAAACACAAAACCACCCGTTTGGGGCGCCCGCCCACGGGGCGAAAAGGGTCGAGCCGCGGCGGCATCTCAGGTGGTTGGGACTGGCTCCTGCAGCTGCTCGAGTCGTGGGACCAACTGGAAATCCAACAAGTGCACTGGTCGAAGATCTGGGGGAGTGCGAGGTCTGCGAGGTCTGCAAGGTCTGAGCGAAGCAGCATGAAAGGGAGGAAAGAACAGCCAACGACTAAGGAACAGTAGAAGGATTGAAGAAGAAAAAATAAGAGAAAGGCAGTTCATTCTTTTTGTTTTGGTTTCGGTTGCTTAAGGTCTGTGCCCTTGTCTCCCCATGGGGATCATCAGAATATCTTCGTAGGTTCGGTGGTTGGTGTGACAAACCCCTTCCAACCACCGAACCGCATGGGTGGATCGCTGGCGCGCTTCCATGGGCATCCGTTCCACTCTTCAATTCGACAGATGTGCAAGGGGCACCCCCGTGGGGCCAACCTCGACACGTCTTGACGCAAGACCGGAGCCGTTCAGCACGCAACACTGAGGAAGGCATCCGCATGGTCTCGCAGCTTTGCGACTGGTCCAACTTCGGAATTCAAATAACCTTTCAAAAACGATTCACTTCTGCAAACCATGTCTACTCTTGCTTTCTCTGATGTTGGAAGGCCAGCGGCCGCGTTGGCCGCGCGCGCACGTCTTGCATGCCGCTGCACCTCTCTGGTCACGTTGTCTCCGCGTCAGCCGGCCGAGGTAAGGGCGGCGCCTGCGGCGACGCCTTCGCGCCGCGCGTGGAGAAGGTCCTGCAGCGCTGCCTCGAGCGGTCGCAGCACGACGGGAAAGTCCTGTCGCTCGGCGGGCGGAAAGGGCGTCGTGGTCCACGGCGGGCGGTTGGGATGAGACGTCCACGTGGTCATCCACGAGTCAGGTCCATGAGTCACGTGGTCGTCCATAATAGTAGTTTTATGTCTGCACCATGCCAAGCATGGATCCTTGATTGACAAGGATCAAGGAGGCTAGGCAGATTTTGCATATTACAATCTTATTTGCGTCCGGGTGTGCCCTTTAATCCAGTTGACTAGGTTGTCAGACAACAGTTGGGACTCGACTATTGAACGGGTGGTTTTGGAACAAGAAACGCTCCCCACCAGCAATTCTCACTCCTCAGTGTCCGGTCATCAATAGTCCTCATCAGGGCTGCAGAGGTTTGGTATTACATCCTCATCCCTATCCCTGTCCTCATGGTTCACGCCAAGCTGGGCGCAAGCGGCGACTCCGCTGCTCCATAGAAACTCCGCTGTTCATTTTCTTCCACCACCGCCGTACCTGACACCGCGTGACCTGCTCTGCTGGTGGCTGGAGGTACTGGGGCTTGTGGGCGGTGCAGCAATTGCACGGCGTGAAAAGTTTGTTGGCCACCTTGCAGTACAGCTGCTCCCGGGACCACTTCAACGAGAAGGCCCGGGTTTCAAGATCTGAAGCTCTCATTGATGCTGTTTGGATGGCGGAGGAGCGGCCCTTGAAGCATTGGAAGGTTTGTTTCGCGCAACGTGTATGACAAAGGTGGAAGAACAGTGGTCGAACTGCAATGAACTGGATCAAGGAGCTTTTGTTGTTGACGTGACGTGAGGCGTGTCAACAACGTTGCAAATTCGGTGTCAAACACCCGGCCCAGACACAGTCCATGAATCTTTACCCCGCCCCGCCAGTCCGGACGGGGTGCCGGTCGAAGGAACAGTCGCGACCCAAACGTGACCCAAACGTCGCTTGGTTCAGTTGGGTTCCAGGTGGTTCAGTCAACCTTGAGATCCCTGAGCCACGAGCTGAGAGGAAATGGAGAGGTGAACCCCGTGAGCTGGGGAGCTGGGAAAAACCATACATATAGATACAGCCATATATATATATATACCCTATATAGATATATGTAAGCCTGGCATGTTACTGTATGCATGTTTGATCTTACAATTTGTGTGATTTTGTGTGTTTGTTCTTTTCTGACCTTTAATAGTGAAAGAGGATAGCATTCATTTCGAATAGCAGCCTCCTCATTCAAGCAAAGAATTGTGCTTGTCAGAGAATAGCGGGAGTTCAATCAAGTTCTGAGAGTATGGTGGATTTTTATGGATTGTGGGAACGGGGGAGGGGTCAAATGTGTTCAAAATGTTTTTCAATGTTAACAAGCTGTTTATCTATTGTCTTTGCATGTCATTTCACAGCCTGTTTTCTTCCTATTATTTTCACAATAACACATGCATGACAATTGAGCACAAATGCAATTTCAACATACATCCCAAAATTCAACTCACACCTGAAGGCCATGTGCTTCCAGTTTGATACGTGCCAGATGCAACATAAATTCACATCAAATGCAATTCCTGAAGTATTTTATCTACATGCTTGTGAATGCACAGGTCTTTTGCAAGACCTCAGTCTTGGCTGCCACGAATTGGAACTCCAAACAGGTGAAGATGCGTGGGAGAGAGTTTTCAGTATCGAAGCTGATGGATGTGGAGGAGTGTTGGTTTTTTCAACCCTGAGGTCAGATTTGAGGCTCCTTGAGTATCAGAGGTCATCCATGGGTTGAAAAAAACTTGGAGGATGGTTCGGTGGCAAGTGCAAGGGAAGGCTGGTCGATCACTGAAAATTTGTCGGGCCACTACCCTACATACTGCAGCAACAACACCAAGGACGACGACAGCATCAACATCAACATCAACATACGAAGACCCGCAAGGGCCCGCAAGGGTATGGGTTTTGACCCTGGTTTTGATCAACGAAGCTCTTCCACCGTTCGGTGCCACCGGCTTTTCATTCGCGTTCGCTCCAATGGGCACTTCGTGAACCAGGTGACGCCTCCAGCGCCCGTCGCGAGAACGATCACCGGCGAAGCCGCTCGCTGAGGCGATCTTGCCTGGGAAGGCGATCAAGCTGGATTAGCGACTTGGAGCAGTTGGAGAAGCCAAGCAACCGGCTTGAGCATGCCGAAAAGAGAGGCAATTGGCTCGTAGCATGCCGCTCCCTATGATTTCACATGATTTTTCAGGTGTGTTCACTGGTTCTGGGGTCTATTTTGTGGTTCTTTTTCACGTGCCTCCTTAGTGAAGTGGATCTTCAAGACTTGGCCGATGATCTCAAATGACCCTCGGGCAGAAGGAGAAACTCATGCCGTGTGGGAAATTGGGCCTAAAGGTTAAGGTTTGGGGCAGAAGAACCATCCCTAATTGGTAAATACATTTCAGTTTATCATATTGCTGGATATTGCTGGAGTCCTTCGATATTGAAGTGCCACTATGAGGTATGCCAGTATGCCTTAGCATGGTCCTTCCCCCCACCCCCCAACTCACTGCCACTCGCCATGGGCCTTGTGACTTGGTCGGTCACAGTGGTGTCGGTCGGTGTACAGGGCAGGAGGGCAGGATGTATTTGATGCTTGAATGCCCATTCTCACCTAAGGATGATCAATGAACCTTCCTTCTATTCAGATCTATGTCAGGCTTGAACCAATTATTGAAGTTCCTTCCGGACCGAGGAATTGGTCGTAGAAGTGATCCAATCGGTCATCTCTGCCATGCGCAAGATTGCCGACCAGGATGGGAGGTAGGTTGCCCGCCTCTCACCAGCGCTGGTATGGACCTGGCAAACACTTTTTCCAAGTTTGCATGGGCCCTTGAGCTCGTTGTGCCAGCTATATATGTCATTTACAAACTTGATCAGTCAGCACGTGCAGCCGAACTTTGTCAACCCGTGAATTCAACACAAGAAGATTCTCTTTGCTGGCGGTGGGATGTAGTAAATCTCTAGCGTTTCAACTTACTGCTCTATTTATTGCAACCACGTCCACTTTCAGGGACCACCACGTCCCTGGCTTGCTGGCTAGGATCCCAACAGCCACCTGCTGAACGACGGGGCCTTTACTTTGGGAAAAGCCGCGCAAATTGCGGCCTGTGAGAAACATGAGGCTGCGGTTTGGGGTGTTGGGATGGGGCATTGGGATGGTTTGGGGATGTTGGGGCATTTTATGCATTGCCTTGGAGATCATTGGATGTACCCTCGGTTCACTGAAGAGCATCAATGAATGGCACGTTCATTTGTTGTGCCCAGCAGGACTAGTAGAGTGATACAGCAACTTCGGAAGTTTCTGGGCTTTCCTTAGGAAAAGCCAAGAACGGAAAGGCCTCGAAGCAAAAGATCTCTTCCGAACGGTCCGACTCTCCGCCCAGGGAATTCCTCAACTCAAGGAGGTCCGGGAGCCATTGGATCACCAGCGGCGTTGGCGTTGGGCGTGAGGGTTTCTGCGACCGGCGACCTGGTCGCTCTTCATCCAAAGACTTTGGGTGTAGGTGGCTCCTTTTGAGGGTGCTTTGAGTACTTAGTCCTCGACGGGGAAGTGGAGGTTCTCCCCTACAAACTGTAGAGGACAAGGACTTTAGTGGTCCAGGGTGGCATTTTCCGCTTCTATGATTGTTGGAGAGGGTACTATATGTAGATATATGTAGTATATAGGCTATATAGATATATGTAGTATATAGGCTATATATATAGCCTTGGGGCAGTGTGCAGCTCTAGCTCAGAACCACAGAATCTACAATCTTGCAGCGAGGTCGAAATGAAGCCATTCCATCACATTCCATCAAACATTTGATGCAAGTGAAACCCGAACCGCTGAAGCTGCCCCTCGCCAAAGCTGTAGAAAACCCTCGCTTTGCTGAGAGCGTCCGTCGGGTCCGTCGGGTCTCTGCTGGGTCTCTCCGGTCGGGTCGGTCGAGCGACTGGACTGGCGCGACCGCAGGTTCGAAACGACAGAATGATGGCTCAAAAACACGTGACAACAACATCCCACAACCAGTTCCACAGGGGTAGTTGGAGAGTAGGGTGCCTGTGATTTTATGTTGTCAAAGTTCCATCCCTTTGGACATCCCGGAGTGCAGGTCTCAAATTGCGCTCTCGGCAACGAGGAAGGATAGTGATTGGCTTATGCGTCCTTTCCATGGACGCATTTGTGGACGCACCTGATAAAGAAGTCCACTGCGTCCTACGGACCTAGTACTTATATAATCTTATATTATAAAAGACTATAATATATAATATATTATATATATATATGTGCAGACTCTTGCATGATCTGCGTCGAAGACACACAATGCACTTCCCAATGGCATCCAAAAACCTCCCGCGCCGCCGGCGCCGGTGCTGCCGTCAGGCGGCCCTCCATTCGTCCAACATCTTGCTCGAGCTCATGAGCATGAAGGACACACCCAACGAGCTAACCGCTAGCCGCTAACCGCTAGCCACCACCTGCCCAATTGCGCTTGTACGCATACTTAAGCCTTCCAAGGTCTTCTTTTCTCTTAGGGGGGTCTAAAACACAATCACATCACATGGCTCGTGTTCTCGTTTCTACCCACTTGTTCAGACAAAGACAGACTATGATTGTTGACGTACTTCTGTTGTGCTGTTGTTGTTGTTGTGGTGGTGGTGGTGGTTATTGTTGTTGTTGTTGCCTTTCGTGGCACATTCACAATCACGCCTGCAACCTTGGGGTAGGTCCAAGATGCTGCTCTTTGCCGCACAGTGCTTGAGGCACGGGTCGGGTGTTTTGTGGGTAACCTCCAAATGGCCAACAGCAGAATCATGCTACTAGGAACAGTGGACGCTACTAGTAGCTCCTGGCATTGCTACTAGGAGCAAGGACGCTAGTAGGTTGGAGGCTTTGATGACCCAAATCGTGGCCCCAGCGTGCTTGGATAGTATATAATTACCCTGCTGCTGTCCACAGTTCAATGGGTGTTTCGAAACTTGTTTTTTTGGGGATGTGCAATTTGCACATTTTGGGTAATTAATTGTCACATATTCGGTTAAACGATGTTAAACGTTTGTTTGCATTCTTTGGTCACTCTATAGATCTATATAGACAAAACTCGGGCGTTTAACAAAAACAGATCCATCGTGACAGCTTGTCGTCCACCAGTCTCATCCAGGTCTATCTTAATTCATTCATGCAGACTTGCCAGCGAGTCATACCAAGCAAAGCTATTCAATGGATGTGCCCAGCAACTAAAGAAGCACACAACACAGCCATCACCACTCATAGCGAAGGGTAGTAAGGATCTTTGGCTGAGACACTTCGTACAACTGTTCCTGCCTGCGCACCTTCACCAGCCATGGCTGGTCCCTTCTCCAACATCATCAGCGGAGAATCCTTATGGGGCATGGCTTCCAGAAACACCAGAGACAGATCCTTCTTCGCTTCGTTCGTGATTTCACCGGCCATACCAATCACATGAACTCACCCGGTCCCCCCCCCCCCGCGGGGCGCGGCGCGGACCGCGGACCGCGCAGACCGCTAGGCGCTGGGTGAGCTTTTAGAAGCTTCGGGGTCCGGGGACCCGGGTGACGTGTGGTGGGGCCAGGCGTGTGATGCTGGCTACTGAAAGGATCTGACAAAATGGGCCATATCAGTGGTTTGAGGGGGTGATGGATGAGTTGATGGATTCGAGAACGAACTTGGGGCAGTTGGCTGAAAGACAGCCCAATCAAGCGAAACTCAGAGATGGCGCCATGAGTAACGTGAGGGAAAGGTTCTTGGACCCACAAATTTATGGGTATTTGACTGACCATCGACTAGAAACCTTCCAAGAGGAAAGCAGGAAAAATAGAAGCAGTCAGGCACAGTCTTTTCAAGCATATTCGATCTTAGTCGTTCAGGGATTTGCATGCTGTAGGCAAAGGCGGGCAAGGCGACTTTGTCCGTGCTTACGCGTTCTTATCCCCTGTAGGCACTGTAGGCGTTCTTGTCCTTGTTGGGAATTTTCAAGTAGATGACGAGCACTCACAATTATGGGCCTGAAGTACAGTGTTCCATGAGGGACCTGGGAGTAGCGTCAGGTGAAATCAGGTGAACATTCATTATGGTTCTGCCTTTTTTATGTTATGACTGTAAGGTGTATGGGCCACTGTGATGGTGCCTCGGCAATTTTGATCCTCGGGGCTGCAGCTTAGGCGTTTGTCATTTGTTGCGAACACGGGCGGATTTTTTTACTTAAATGAAGTTGAGCACAAGGTATCAGAGTGTAGGTGAAGTTTGTCTAACGAGGGTCTAGGTATAATGAAAAGTAAATTATCTCTTTTTGAGGACGGTGAAAGTCCTTTGGTTCTCCACTTTAAAAAACCTCAACAAACACGGCGGGATCTTGGGACGTGGGGAAGGTGAAAACTGTTTTCGGGCCCATCTGATCTCTGAATGTCAACTTATCAGCCTAGGCGTCCTTCGGCAGTACGCTCCAGGCTGCGGGGATGGGATGGGTTTGCCAGAGACAAACAGTTTGCCATAGGCATGCATCTATTTTTTTGTGCGTGTGCACATGTTTGGAGCGGCATTGAACGGACATCAACGCATGTTTATGATTGTTTATGTAATTTTTCATGTCAACGTTTCCAGCTGCAAACGGCACACTGATTCTGGTTGCAGGTGATGGAATTGGGTCATGTTATGTGTACATGTGCCACTTAAATGTGTTGTGTCTTAGACAAGCTCCATGGTCTTATGGCCCATGCAGGCCATATGCGTGATCAACTAGGTTTGGTTTTGCCGCGACGAGCAAAGCAACACGTGGAATAAGACCTGTCAAGTACAGAATACTTAGCATTTCTGGATGGGCTTTAGAGGCTTTGGGATCGGGAACCATTTTCTTGGAGAATGTTCATGCTTTCAGCGCAGACAGCGCAGACGATCAGCACTTGTGTTCACACCTGTCACATCCTGGCAGGATTTGTGAGGGCTTGTTTGCAGGAAGCTGCGGCAATGCAGGCGGTGTTCTGATGTGTTCTTGCTTTTGCAAGAGGTCCGCAGAAAGATATATTGATGAGTTTACAGATAAATTACAGTATATCATAGTTGGTATTGAGTTTCTCCAAGTTGGGATACTTTAGGTCATTCTGCTTGCTGCTTTAATTAGAAGCAGTCCCGAGATCGCATCATCAGCAAGCTGCCTTCGTTGCTGTTTTTATTGGAATCCAGGCTAGTACTCCACCCTGGACCCTTGGTACTACAGTTATGGTCCTGGTAGAAGTACTCCGATTCCGATGCGTCCTTGGCCCAATTGGATCATTGAGATAAAGCAGGAGTACATTCGGAGTACATTCTGATTGCTAAAATTGATGGATCACAAAACAGCAGGGGAAAGGACATCTCTCTCTCTCTCTCTCTGACGGATTCCGAATTGTGGACGCTTATAGCTTATATATATATACTCGGATAGTTTAGCCGTTTTTAGCACTGCAGGCTTTAAACTTAGCAGGTCTCATAAGACATCCAATAGAGAAGTGGATTTTGGATGATTTCGGGAGTTTCCACAAACACTCCCCCCTTCTTCCGTTTTTTCTTTTTTACAGGTCTTGGCTTGGTGTCCGTGGTGCTATGAACGATGTTCGTGATGTCTCTTGAGAGGTTCTGGCGTGATTGGTGCCGGCCTTCTATCGAAGGTGCCAGCTGAGAGGGAGTGACAGATCACGGGAGTGTGTCAGTGGCTGCGTCAAGCGAACAGCAGTTTGATCCCTGAGGACCCAACATGCGAAGCGTATTGACAAACAGCGGGTTCTGAAGCGTGTTCTAAGAAACGAAGGGAAAAGGGCGGTCATGAAAACGAGGGAGATCAGCATCAACAGTGTTTTGTCCGTCTATTTTGGGGTGACATCTTAGTTTAAGATGTTGAAGCATGCACTTGGATACAACTGAGGGCACACACCCAGCTGATTCATGCTCTACACTTGGAGAATCGCCGATCAATCCTGGGCAGGTCAGCGCGGAGCATGCATCCAACACGAAACTGCAGGCCCCTCGGTGCTCGCGAAGACCGCCGTGCGTGGGATCGACGGCGCGTCAGCGCCTGGTTTCTGTGAGTGCAGGTTCCGGGGACAGTGTCCCACCCCGGGAGGTGTGTCTCTACTGCCAGACCGACCGGGAGACCCTGTGGCGTTCCGATCCTCCACCGGGTTCGGTGCGGAACATGGACCAGAAAACACCCAGCCGAGCCAGGGCCAGGGGATCTCCCAGTCACACACCCACCAGGGTCATCCTGTCTGGGTGTCCAATAGACTACCCTACCCTACCTATCCCTACCTATCCCTACCTACAGGCAGCAACCCTTGGATGGTCCAGGAGGTTGTTGTTTGTTTCTTGCAACTTCAGCAAAGCAATGAGCTGGCAAGAGCTGGTAGCAAGAGCTGGCAAGCCTGTCTCAGGCGCTGCGGTTTGGTTTCTCGGAGAAGGAAGTTTTTTGGACATGCCTCGTTGTTACTCTGAAAACCAGCATCCCTAGTCTTTCCAGCAGGGAACCACCAACTTCACAAGGTAGCATCCGGAAAAATGGCCTGGAAGCAGGCACATGCTGCCTAATTAACGTCAATGGGGATTAACGTCGCATTCAAGCGAGCGAACACGAGCCGAAACACTGAGACGATTCGTGGGATGGACATGAATTGAAGATCGTCTGACGACCGGAAGCATGGAGTACTGTAACTGCAAGTTATATATGTGATATGTTATATCACATGTCTATGTTAACTGAAGTACGGTTCCCTCTATATAGATGAAACTTCACAACTGGGGTGACTGACTTGTCAAGGCGATTGTTTTCTTTGTTTTCTTTGCAGTCCCCAGTCCCCACATGCTCTTTTTGGTGAATGATCCAGATGTTCCCTTAGATGGCAAACATCACCAAGGAAGCGCTGCATGGCCTGAGAGTGTGTCCCTGATTTCGTGCCCTCCTCCCAGAATCGTCCAGAGACAAGCTAACAAGAGACAACAGGAAGACCTTGAGGTGAACCTCCGCGTGATACGAAAGCATTGAAAAGGCCAGTTGGAAAACCCCACCATCCCCCACCCAACCAAACCTGCACAACACAGCATGGATCGTCCCTCTTCGTCGTCCCTATGGCTCCGCACCTTTTTTGTTCCTTGAGAGAATGAGATAGACAGACCATGTCTTCCTTATAGGGTGTTTTGGTTGGATCCCTTGCCATGTGACCGGGCCGGAAGAGGACATGCCACTGGCCCTCCGCTTTGCTCCGGCGGACCAGCCGGACGGACCGACCGAGACCAGTCGTCGTCCGATTTGAGACGACGGTGCCAGGGGGTGATCATGTGGCTGGCGGGCCTGGCTCATGGAGTCACCGCCATCGTCGCTCGTGAAGACGAACATATTGAAGAAGACATGGAGAAAAGGACCAGATCACCAGGTGGTGTTGCTATTTTTCAATTTTCGGGGGAGACGAAGTAAGGACATCACTGGAAAGAACTGCAATTTAAGGGGTGTTTTGGAAGGGGTTTGCTAGTTATTTTTTTTTTGTGTGTGTGTGTGTCGCTTAAAGATCAGTTGAACATCACTGGTGCGGAGAGAAAGAACCAGCATCACTGGTGCGGTTCTTCTTGGGAATCGGGAATCCATGCCCAACATTCGTGCAATGAAACGCCTCCGTTGTTGCAAGGGAAGACATCAACATTACTAACACAGTCAATCAAAGAAGACATTTCCGTAGTCCGGGGCAAGGCTGGAGTCTCCAGGTTCGATTGGAAGCTTATCGCAGAAGAGAGTGCATCTGAATAATGGGGCGGAATCACAGGGCACCAAACTTGGGGGCATCTGAAAACTGATCTGGGAACCCCTGCACACCAGTAACAAGAAGCTACCAGGTGGAGGCCATCGCTATTAGGTTGGAGGCCACTAGGAACAAAGAGCTACTAGGTGGAGGCCATTTGTTTCAGGTTGGAGGCCATTACTACTAGGAACAAGAAGCTATGAGGCTATGCTCTCATACATCCGGGGCCGGCGTTGCCGCCCGCTCGGGTCTTTGGAGGTCAGAGAGATGAGCATGAATCAGAGCTGCTATGGTGTTGGGACACCCCAGCTGCTGCAGTTGTTCCGGGGATTTCGCCGATTGCCTAGTCCAACAGATGATGGCCCCCCCGCAGGCCCAACAGGATGGTAGGATACGGTAGGATTCGTTTAGAGCAGCGGCACGGGGTTCACATGGTTCTTGAGCAGTGCAGGTTTTGATCCATCAATCTGCATGCGCCAGCGGGTGAAACCTGGTGCAACTGGCTGTCACTGGACTGGCGTTTTTTTTCATTAAATTCAGAAATTCATTCGAGCTCCCGCCAGAAGAAGTCCCTAACGATACGCGAGTTGATGTCAGATATGCAGCTTGTTGTTGGGCTGAATATGATAGTTGATGCTGAGTCCATCTTCTCGGAATCAACATGTCCCATATTCTTAATTAAGAGGATATTATGATATTCTGATACATGTTTCATTATTCGAAGAAGGGTACAAGTGATAGGATTCGTTTGCTTTGAGTCAACACCTTGGCTATCATGGTGGAGGGATCCTGTTAATCGATCGAACCTCTCTTGGCGGGGAATCCAATTGGGAATCATTATTGTGTGAACATCTGTGAACCCCTGTGGAGCCCAGATTGTTGACTTCCATGAACTATTTCCGTGCGGTTCTGGAAGAACATCCGTGCGAGTTAGATCCATTGGGTATGACCCTACCCTAAGAATCCTTGGTCTCTCGATAGCAGGGGTCCGGGCTCTCAAAACCCTATCTGTTTGAGGGCCCGGATTCTTAGGGTACTGCCAAACACCGACTGGCCACTTCACACCCACCGGTCACCCGGGCTGTGGCCACCGGTCAGGTGCAACTGGCCGCGCTGCGGGCAATCGCCGCCATCTTCTATCAGCTCGAGGCGGCTCGGTCGAAGAGGATCCGATGGACACGGTGAAAGGCAGGTGCGAGCGGTTTTTGCATGGTTTTTCCACCTCAGTGATGCTGAAGCTACGTGCCAGGACGGCCTATGCCGTGATTCAGAGGGGGAGGGGTAACAGTCACGTGTGTGGAGACAGGAGTTGACTTTCAGCTCCCCCAACCCCCCAAGATAAACACAGAACACATCATGCTATGATGGCTTGGTTCGGAGTCGGAGAAGCCTTATTTTTAAAGTGTTGTCTCCCGAAAATACACTTGTGTCACTGTGTCACGGGTGTTTTTCTTCATCCCAGTTCTCCTAGGAGGGCTATTTGGGGTGAATCTTTTGGTGTTTCGTTTAGGTTTTCTTTTTGATTCACTTCTCCCGTGTATGTCCTGCGACCTGCCTCGTGTCCGTTCGACTCTCTCTCTCTCTCTGTCTGAGCTCCGCAGACGGACCACATGGACCCGAAGACCAATCCGTTGGCTTCGGGGGTCCATGTTGACCTGGTAATTGCGGCATTGTACTTGTTTGACACGCACTTGACTACTACGCCCAATCTTTCCCACTTCACGAAACCCCAATGAGTCAAGTGGCAGGGAATGGCAGGGAATAATTGGTTCCAGCCAACTAAACAGGGTGTGGGAATCATATCAAGTGTTGTCTTGTTCGACCATTTTTGAAGTCTGTCCTGTCTATTGATTAGGAACGTATCTAAGCATACTGTTCTACTGTTCTGCTATTGCTGCCCGTTAAGATCCTTTCTTTTATAACAAATTCTGAGGTTTGCTTGATTCATGGAACTCTGACCTGAAAACCTTTCTCAAAAACCCTTATTCTAACTCATCGAAATCATTGCTCCAAACCATTTTTCAAGGGGATATCCGGGGATAGTACACAAGCCCAGGCGAAGCGAATCCTAAGAATTGTTTCAAGGGTGGAATTAACGCGCCAACTTGGAGCCCTTGCAAATAAACTAAGCTTACTTTTCTGCCCCTTATTATCCTTGCTACTGGCCACTACTCCTTCTCCTACTCCTACTCCTACTCCTACTCCTACTACTACTCCTACTACTACTACTACTCCTACTACTACTCCTACTACTACTCCTACTACTACTCACTACTAACTACTAACTACTAACCACTAACCACTACCTACTACTACTACTACTACTACTACTACTACTACTAGTGATGGCGGTAGTGGTAGTTCTAGTCGTGGTGGTCGTCGTCGTCACGCTTGCAAGCGAAACACTACAACCGTCACCTTCACCAAAAAAGGAACCTGGTCCCCTAGTGCTCCCAATTCTACAGAGCTGGTATACGCACGTTGTGACGAGTTGGTCAACCTCCACGGGAGTCGTTTGCGAATTGGTCACAGCAGAGGCAGCCGAGCTTGGTCAAGCTCAGCCGAGCGTAATTCATTTGTGAGACAGCATGCTTGAGCCCTTGCTCCTAGACCCAAGGTCAATGGTCAATACTCAATGGTTTCATGGTCAATGGTAATTTCTTGAAATACTCAATACTCAATGGTCAATCTTTTCTCATCGATGTCCTTGCTGAATAGCGCTGATCTATGCAGATCTGAGTGCTCATGTCCAGTGCTGATGCGCTTTCGCAAGGTACGCCTCCACCCGAGGCTGAAAAACCTCCACGAGAGATGGTACAATCTTGGCCTTCAAACAAATCCATTGGCACATCATGGCACCCAGAAAACCAAAACCAAGGTGCGACTACAGCCACTTGGTGTTTGGTGTTTGCTCCACCATTAATTACTGTGGGACCGGGTGTCGCACTGGTGCACCGCGTGGCTTCTGGTTGCAACCAAACTGTTTTGGATTCGAAACGGCTCGGCTCAACTCCCTCCGTCCGTGTTGCCCCGGCATGGTCCCGCAGCGGATGGTCCGAGCAGGCCAATAGCGATTCAGTGGAGTTGGCGGCGCGGGCTGCGTGCATTCCAGCAGCTTCTTGGGCATGGAAGGGTGGGAAGTGATGGGGAGTGCGGTCGCCTCACGGGACAGATGGCGAATTGACCCCGCCATAGAACCTCTGACGGAATCGGATTATATAGGTCTGGAAATGTGATTCGATGGACATTCAACTATAGTTGATTGTTTTAAGCCGAAGTCTCAGCCTCGTTCAATTGAAGGGGTTTAGCTTCAAGTTCAACTTTCGGTTCCGACCTCTAAACAAGTCCTTTCGATATATATATATATATTATATAGCTTGGAATTCCAGCTCGTTCCAGCTCCTTCGAGGAGGAAGCATTTTGGACTACTGGATTGGAACTTGAATCTGTTGAAAACCACCGTAGGGCACCCAATTTGTCTCTGACTGCCTGCACCATCTCTGACTGCTCATCAAGTCTGCTCAACTGCTCAACTTTTGGCGGAGGAAAGCCGCTCAGAGCCTTTGACCATAGGTGAGGTCGGCCACACGCCTTTGTGGCATGGCAAGTCATTGGGACTGGACTGATAAGTTTTTGAAGAGAAGGACCTTCGCAGGGCTGGTCAGAGGTAACTGCGATCGAAGTTGAGCCAAGCGCCCAAAGGGCCAAAGGATCAGGAGTTGATACTCGTCACGCTGATAGCCTGGGTCGCAGGGCCTAGGAGTACATCCGATTTCAAGCATGTTCAACCATTTCACTGTTCAAAGCCAAGCCTTTGTTGGGCTCATGTTCAGCCTTGTGCTGCAGGGCCAGATTTGAAGACACCCCTTGATGTACTGCCAGACCAGACAGAGCATAGATGTGTGGTTGCCCATGGACGATGTGTGGAATTCCGAGACTCTGAAGACCCTTGGGGTTGAGTTCTTTGGGCCGGTCGAGTCGGTCTGGATCCTTTAGACCGACCCCAGAGAGCTGGGTGGGGACGAAGGAAGCTGTGCCTACCTGTGCATACCTGGGACTGGGCGGGTTGCAAGTGGGAAACATTCAAAACCATCGTGCCTGTAGTGAGAGCATGTCATGTCCAATGTTTATTTGTAGTTTCGCATTGAAAACAAGAGGGACGCGCAACAAATTCCACTGAATGATACCTTCTAGTGGTTGGTGCCATTCGACAATATGATAAGGGGCATCTCGGTAGTCATCGCGGTGTCAACATGTGTCAACTTATCTTTGTTAAGTGGTGACAAACTGCAGGGAATCCAGCGCCAAGTACCAGCAAGATCTGTGGGCTTGGCTGAACAAAATAGAAAACTTGTTGCTCACTTACGTATATTATATCCTTTTCAATGCTTCATTCCAGCCCAGCTCAACAGGTTACGACTTTTTTAAGACCAGACAGACTTGTTATTATATATATTAAATATTACAGTACTATGTTTTCAATTATATTCAGATTGAATATGTGGAAGCTTCCCCATACAAGTCTCCTTGCACTCATGTTCTTGAATCATAATATAGGGTCGACCGTGTGCAGGCCAACCGCCTTCCTGCGGGTGGGAGGGTCCGTGGCTCCGCCATGTTCATTGCAGGTAGTGGATGGAGTATGAACATGGCGGAGAATGTGAACAGTTTGTGAAATCGCACGTTTCCCATGTTAGTCTGTTCCTCGCCTGTATACGTAGTGGGTGAGCAGGTTCGAGACTGGGTCCTGGGACAGTTAACTCCAAATCATATGAGCTATGTCCCTAGGGATCCACATACGCTCTGAGAAGGTGGTTGGAGACACTGATATGTAGGTTTGGAGGGTTTCATTAGTGAGACAGGCCATCGCAAGTAGGTTGGAGGCCCAAAGCAAAGTTGGTCTGCGGGGGGGGGGGTTCTTAAAGGAACATGTTCTACGGGAAGGGCTTCGCAAAGCAACATGTGTCTACAGGAAGGCAACTTAATTGGCCTAGAAGAAAGCAACATCGTCTACATCAAGAGTCACTTAAATTTGTCCATGGAAGGGTTAGTTGAGGCAAAAATTCAATTGGGGGACGGGGGAGCAATGTAACCTAGACTCTAGACAAACAACAAGACAAGAAACTGAGACACAAAAAACATCCACAAGACACGCCGGCAGGCCAAACCGCTAAGACGCAATAAATGACAAGTTCCTCCGAAATCCCACGGTTGCCTCGGTCCCCCAACATATCCCAACATATATACATGTGAGTTTCTAGAGGAATGTGTGGTCAACGATTTCGCAGCCTGCTTGGACATCTCTAGGCGGGGCTGAGTGGAGCACTTGTTGGCGTAGTAGCGGGGCTGGTTGCGACTGAGGGCATGGCCACCACCTACTCAAGATGTAGTCAGCTCGGTCCTATCAAAGCTTTCTTTTTCGCGGCGGAGCTTTCCAATTCTTGCCCACAGCGGGCAAAGTCTTTAACTTGCACATGCCTTTGTCACAGGTGCAGCCAGACACCTAACACGAGCAGCGCAAACTAGCTGGTTGAGCCCTCCACGTCTGGGTGTACCCAGCACTAGCAAAACCTGCCATCGCCTTCCATCAATCTTGCGGAAGTTATGCCCAGGGCTGCAATGCCGGAGCGCCGCAGAACATGAGTGTGGCCAGGGTTCTGCACGCTAAGTGCTGCTTGTGCTAGTGCTTGTGCCTGCTGTGCCCGAATCATGAATACCAAGTTGGGGTGCTCCGAGGTGCTTGCAGCTATGGCTTCGTTCCCGGAGAATCTGGCCACTGGGGCTGCGACCATGAGGGTGCTGCTTTGTTGAAAGGGATGAACCTGAAGAGACAGAGAAGGGAGATCATAGTGGGTCAGCAGTTTTATAATGTTGTTGGTCACCTGCGCACAATGTTTTTGAATTTTGCACTTCGTTATGATAGTGTGAACATGACACGTCGCTGTGGCGCGCAGGGCTTTGGATGCCTATTTTTTCCAGGCCAGTTGAAAAAATTGAGGAATAATGGCGTTTTATTTATAGCACATTCTTGCAAATAATGTAATTGTAACGTTCCGTTTGTTTGTTTGGATTGCTTTGTGGCGGTAAATTGTTTACTTGATTGATTGGTCCACGGTGAACAGCAACATTACAAACTTGTCATTTTGGTTGCTGTGTTTTGTTTTCTCGTTTGGGTGCCTGCCTGTATTTTTGTCGTGGAGTTTGGACCCAAATTTGGTATTGAATGTAATGATTTCCAGGTTGCAGTGGTGCGAAAGATTTGTCAGAAAAATGAAAAGGTCCAGGTAGACGTTCCATCGCATGGTCCTTTTGTCTTATTAAACACTTGGCCACAGACTTTGATTTCTTGGGGCTTCATGTGTAGTGAATGTTGAATTCAGAACAAATGCATTGTTTGGAGTTTGGGGACATTTTTTTCCCGCTTCCCGCAAAGCCGATGCCATGTATCCCCGAACGCAAGGTGCCTGGAACATCGGAAGACATCATGTGCCATTTTCCACTGTTTGTTCCAAACAATATGTTGACATAGAAAACCATATCCTGGCAGACTGTTTGGAGAGGGTGAAATGATGATGAAAGACACAGATCCAATATTTGTTACATAGTCTATTTTTCCAACATGCACTCCATTCTCAGGGTGCCGGTCCCGTTTTGTGTTGTGATCTCATTGCCCGGATGTTCATTGGTGCCTTAGGTGATGTGGAAGACGGCCTGCTATACCCTGAATGCGGTTGTCCAGTCAGAATCCCAGACCAAACATGTTTTGGAGAAGCTCCTGAACAGCGATGTTTGGACATGTGGCATCTGCTACCGTAGTGTTCCTACATTCCAAACTCGATTTGGTCCATTGACCGGTCCAGCTGGTGTGGATCAAGACGAATGAAACGCCCCAGGCCCCAAACAATGGTAGGCGGCTCACATCCTTCTGTAGCTCAACCAACCGGCATTGAAGCAAACATTAGTTGTTCATCTTTCACCATTGCACATTCCAGGGCTTGGACTCCGGACCCACTGTTTGTATATGGTTCAATATCTCCGGACAAGATAAACTGTGTTTATAGGTTGTTATAGCTTGAACGAATCTGGACCCACTGTTTATATACTGTTTCGTTCAAGTTATCAGGACAAAAACCTCCTGAATCGAGCCTCGCTTAAAAGCCCTGTGCTACCGGTCCGACTCCCACTCCCGCCGACTTCCACCGGTGCTCGGGATCTCGGGATGACAGGATCCAGCCCCTAGCAATCTTTGCAGAATCAGTTGGGGTGAGATGTCTTCAAGGTCAATTGGGGTGAATCAGTTGGGGTGAGATGTTGCAGAATCAGTTGGGGTCAGTTGGATAGGTATATTTATTCCATACAATTCCATACATGGATCCTTTGGGGCGGTCATGGCACGCCCCAGCTGGCCGGAACCGGCCGGAACCTCGGTCGCACTTCGGTTGGCCGGTCGGAGCAACCAGCGGTGCCGATGCATGGCCACTCCTACGTGACTGGAAACAGGACGATTAATAGACAGCTTTCTTGCAAACAATCTCAAGTTCAAGACTATTTTCACTTGGAAGACTACGTCTTCCTCTACCAACAGTGGGTGCCATCCACTTCCATGTGATGTCTTCGTCAGAGTGTACATGATATAATCCTACACTCCCTGGTTTCGAGTCATGGGCCAACGTGGATGGCCCCCCAAAAGGATGGCACACTCCGCACGGTGCGGCACCGGCACGGTGCCATCCAGGGTTCCTCATGACGTTCACAGTCTGTCAGCGCTCCACGAAGCTGGTCTGTCATTGGAAAAATCCTCGACGGTCGTCACCGTGCCATCACCCACAGCCCTCGTGCCCTTCGAGGCACGGCTTGGACCACATCGTGCAGAAGGTGCTTTTCTCCCATGCGACGTGTTCCATAGTCTCCGTTCCATAAGTACCCGGGTACAGACGGTAAAGCTATAGAACAGAGTCTCCCTGCTCACCTTCTCAAAGGGTATGTGAAAGGCCGTGGATTGGCTGATTGGTAGAAGGGAGAGTCCCAGTGAACAAGCGATAGGTTGATGGTACCAAATCGCATTTCTTTCCAAATTTGAGGACATCACTACGGCTGATGACTCTGTTAAGAAAGACGCTTTTTTAGAGTAGACTCTAGATTATTTCTTAACTATAACCTTTTAATTAAGAAATGTGGCTAGCAGGTAGACTCTAAATAAGGTTTCTTATTCTATTTTCTCTCCCTCGAGCTCTAAATCGCTCAACCGCATCGCTATGCGCATGGTCTTCGACTTCTTCGACCCGTATCCCCGGATGTTGTATAATGTTCTATCATGGTATAATGCTCAAGAATCTGAGATGAGGGGAGGGAGGGAGGGAGGCTCAAAGTTGAAGGCTGCGATGGGACTTCAAAAGAGCTTTAGACCAGTTTCAGACCACCCGAGAGGACAGGTTGGGGACAGCTTTTTGTGAAGCAGATTTAAACAAAGTGAAGCTTTTGCTCTACGTACGTATCATGCAAAGGGGTCATAGATGATGTCAAGTTTGTCATTTTACACCTGCACCCTGGAGATCCAAGGGTCATTGTCTAAAAGCGGATGTTTGATCGCAAGATTAAATAATGCGGCCCTTGTGCCGCATCATTCCATGTGGGGTCTGTAAGTGAGATACGTACGGGGGTCTACAGGATAATGAAGGCTCGCTTTTAATTCGGTACCATTATGGTCGTAATTCGGTGCATCCAATAGTACCTAAGTGTGGCCGTAGTGGTACCGAATTAAAAGCTCCTCTTCATGCATCCACTCCATGTTCTCCAATAACTTCCGATGACCATCAGTGACCATATCACTTTTGCAGCTCCACATGCGTTTTGTGCTGACGGTTCGGAACTTCAGGTTTTTGAACCAAAAATGTAAGTTCTGAACCTTTTTGGAAGCAAAGTGGCACCACGGATGTTGTATAATGTT